TATCAATATACTTTATTATTATACAATTAGTTTAAATAATTTATATAGTATATTTTAATTTAAAATTAAATATTTAATTATATTAATTTATGTGATTTAGTTAGTTTATAATTTAATTATTTTATTAATATTGTATTGACTACAACCTTTTTTGAAACTTTTTAAAGATATGATATGAATGTTATTAAAATTTATAAATATTTTTTTTAGAGAGAAATTTATAAATATAAAATATGTATAATATATTTTTTAAAAATAATTAATAAAATATTGAATCATATGGTTCTAATCAAATCCGAGACTTAGTGGCCTAGTATTCTGACTGATTGGATGACGGATCCGAGTTTTTAAACATTGTATAAAATATTTAAATTTGTTATATAAATAAATTGGACCAACCCAAAAAGCCCATTATAATTTAGTCAAAATTATATATATATATAATTTTTTTCTGTAAATAATTTTTTGCTTGTTAGATAGATTATTATGAATAACAATTTACATTTAAAGTATTTAATCAAGTTATATGCTAGAATTTGAATTTAAAATTGTATATTAAACTAAAATAATTCGGTATTTCATCCACTCGCTGGACAATATTAGTTATATAATATTATTATTTTCTAATTTAATTTTAGTATTCCTCTTCCAAAATAATACAATTTTAAAAATTTACTGAAAAACTTCATAAATTATCACACAACTTTATATATCATATCAACATTAATATCTTACCAAACTGGGCTCCAATAACATGATAAAAATAAAAAGCATTTCTTCCATAATTAAGCTACCTAATCTTATAATTGTATATCACATGCATCATTCATTTCCAATGCATAATTGGGCAAAGCAATAATTCTTTTATTTATAAAAGGAGCTAAAGCTATATGCCTCAGAGTTGCCCTTGATGCTTCTCTTACATATTTCACTTTCTACACTGAACACTAGCAAGATTTTGAAAAAGTAAGATCTTTCTATTATTAATAAAAATAAAAATGAGAATTAACTAATCTATTATATTGATTATGCTTAAGCATGTTATACAGTAATAGTTGTTTTTTTTTTCTTTTTCTTTTTTCCATTTTCAGTGACATTCTTTATTATATTTATGCTTACAAGGTTCTAGAGAAGTCAAATTACAACACTTGAAATGATATCAATTTGGGAAATTGATTGCTAGCCATGGTTGGTGAAAAATTGTTCCCAACTTAATTAGATGCATATACAGCCGATGAAATCTCGTGAGATTTTAATTCTAATGTATAAAAATTAACATGTTTCTGATTTCTATTTCTTCAGTTGGAATTAGTTCCTTCAATTCTGATTTGAAACAGAAAGTTATTTTAATGTATTTCTACCATGAGAATGAAAAAAAAAAATGTTCAGTTCCCTCCATCAATTATGTTCTGTGCTTAATCAATATTATTAATTAGGATAGTGTAGCTTTTTTGTTAAATCAAAACCTTTCACACTGAAATGTGGGGACAAATAAATGCTTTGCTTGTAGAAGAAATAATTCATGAAAGCAAGGTATATGGCAGCAAGAAATGGGATCAAGGTCCACACCCTCCACCAAACAACTAGCAGCTAGCACTCTTTGAAATTTGAATATCGCTTATGTCTTGTGTCTTGCGATCATTATATTTACTTTAATAGTTTATATGAATATTTTTGCTTAAAAAATTATATTAAATTATCTTTAATAAATATGAGATCTCTAACACATTCTCCTTTAATTAACAATCGAATATTTTGAATATAAAATTTGTAAACCTAAAACAATATAGAATTTCCGACATTTTTCTCTCCTAAGTAATAGTTTATGATATTCATGAAGCATGAATAACACCAGCTTCATTATAGTTAGTGGGATTATTCATGACACGACATTGAGTATATAATTTACATTTTCCTACCCAAATAATAGTTTATTAGATGACATATTAACATATATAGTCCTTAACATGTTAATGTAACTATGCATGCCATTAATATAGTTCTCACATGTTGGTCATTCGTATGTGTATTTTACTTTTCAGATAATAATTTACCTTTTTTTCTTACAATATTGATATTCAGAGGTAGAATTGATTCTCAATGTTATTCAAACACAATAAGTTGCTTACAGCAGTCCATGTAAGTCAGAAACACAAATTTATAGCTGTCTCATGCATGCTATGAAGGACTTTGTAAATTTTAAAAAAGACCTGTAACAAAGTAAAAGTAATAGTAATAGCTATAGATGATAAAATAGGAACATATATGATGAGAGGGATTAGTTGAAGGTTGTAATATTTTGTGGGAAAAGACAAAAAGGATAGCTGAAGGGTGATCGTGTATCTATTTTAATGTTTCAATGTGGGGGCCACATGCGGAATACGATAAGTTGGATGAATTACAGTTGCGTATGATACCATCCCTGTTCCATTCCCCTGATGAAAGCATAACACGTTACTTCACTTTCTACTTTCTTCTCACCATCTTCATATCACTGTGTTCTGTGTTTTCCATACCGCTACGTACCATCTCTACCTCACTAAAATCCTATGCTCTGTTTCCTTATATTTTATATTTTTCAAATTATTTTATAAGATAATTTTTTAAAAAAATCATTTTACAGATTAGAAACGAGGAAAGAAAATATGAAGGTGTAAAAAAAAATATAACCAATAGAAAATCAAAATAAATTAAAGATATTAGTTTTCTACTTTTAAAAGCTAAAAAATGTATTGATTTTTAAAATAAAAACTATTATTGTGATTTTTTATTTTATTTTTAAAAACAGATTTTCTTTTTAAAAACAATCGGACAAAACTTTATTCTTTAAATTTATCTTTATCTATACTATTAATAAAAGAGAATATTGCTTTCTTTAAACGTTCTGATTTCTATTTTTCACCTGAAATAGTTTAACTTCTATTTGCTTTTTGCCTCTCCGAAAATCACTCTCTATGGTAGTATTTTTCTTTTCTTTTATTCTTTCGTTGCTACAGTTTTTTTTTTTTTTTTT